GATTTTTCCATTATTCTCTGGTGGATTCTGCCTTAAATAGCTAAACAGAGTATCGGTCATGTGTTTTTTTAAAAAACAATTAATATACTTTTTCTTTATGTTTAATCTGTATACTGTGCTTTATTTTTTAGTTTAATACCCACCAAGAATTTATATTGAATTGCTTTTTAAGGGGTTATGTAAACTGGAGTCTGTGTGAGCAAGCAGCTCTAAAAAAGATACAGGCTTTAAGATAATCATGAACAATTTGAGGATTTCCCACAGGTTTTATCTTTACTTACTGACAGATAGGATGCATCTTGACTTCTGCATGGGTCTAGGCAACCAAAAACAAGAAAATACATGTTTCTTGGCTTCGATTGGTGTGTCTAGTCTTTGAAGCAAACAACTAAACGATCCTTACAAAAACATGAAACTTCCAAAGAATTGTGAAGGCTCTTGCTTCATTTTCCTTCTTTCTATTCCATCTAAGACACAGATAACAAAAAACTCACTTTACCTAGGAAGACTGAAATGACAATGGCTTGTTTAGCTTACCTGGAAAGTCCCAGAAAAGCCTTCTGGTGAGGACTCATGATATGCTGCTTCCTGTTTTGTATAGGCATAGCTTGGACCTTGCTGTTCTCATTTGTTCTCTCATTTACTTGAGAGTGTTTTTAAGCAGGAAACAAAATTTTAATTTGTAAAACAAAATACATATCCTTACTGCCTTTGTGGTCTCTTCAATTCATGGAAAGTTTAAGTGAGAATTGAGAGCTCCATAGAGTAGAAAAAACTCCAATGGTTGGCATTGTGTTGAAGAGAATTGAAAAGGTCTGTGTATTCACACAATTAATGTTACATCTGAGCTGGGCCAGTAATTGAAAAGAGTGGCTTTCTGGTATTGTCATATCTAGTTTCATTTTATTTTTTTCTTCTTTTCCTCCATTAGTTGGCTCTTTGAGTCCAGTTATTTCCTTTCCTGGTCTGTTCAGATGCAGAGGGTGGCTGCCTTCCTCTGCTTCTGCTTCAGTTGCTCTGAGGAATATTTGGTGTTGAACTCTTTTATTGTTCCCCTTTGTTCCCGTTGCAATTCCTTGTGGCTTTCTGCTTGTAATTAGAATTACAATTTCCACTGAACAGCGGCTAGAGCAAATGTTCATAGTTATAGGATGCTAAGAGTTCTGTCTCTTTCTCTATCCCTCAACCATCCCACCCCATGCCACTTTTCAAATGCCAACATTACTCATGCAGGATTTTATCATGGATAAGGAGCTTATCTGGCATATATATCTAAGAACTGCATGAAAGATCCTAGGCCAGACTTGATCCAGCATTCTGCTTGGTGCAGCATTTATTCTATTTGGAAAATCATGTTTGTGAACTCAGTTTTCCTTACCAGGAAACCTGCCCACCTAGGAGCTAGATATGAGGGTTTGTATCTGATGCTGTCTCACAGAAAGAACAGGCTGTTGTTGGTATACTAACTCTGTTGCCCAACAACCTCCCTGGTATATGTGATTTCCAGGGTGGTGTTAGGGAACCCTAGCTGCCTTAGATGAGCCTGCTAAGGACTTTACAACCACCATGATAGCCATATTTTTGTCAGAATACACCACTGATCCAACACATGTTGCAGGTAATACTTTTGAATCTGGTATTGGCTATAGAGCGGATTGGGGATTAGCTGATACTGTTGGGGAGGGTAAATGTGACCATTTTGTCACTAATGGAAATTTGGATTGGCTGTTACTAACCTTCTTTGCAGGCATGGGAGAATGCGCCTGAATGCTCTGAGGAATTTTTTGGCTGGCATGGCTGGTGCACCTTCCAGTGTTCTTGTCTCACTGTGAAGTGGTTAGATGAGTTATTTATTTATCTTTTAGGTACCCAGATGATCTTTTAGGTACCCAGGACCCAAGCTGTTTGGGGCTTTATTCAAACACTTTAAATTGGGCTTGGTAGCCAGTGTAGTTGGTATAGAAGTGGTGTGATATGGGTTCGTGGACTAGTTCTTGTCAGCAATCATGTGGCCCTATTTTGAACCAACTATTTTGAAGTATCTGAACCATCTTCAAAGCGTGTGTAAAGCTTGTTAAAATAATCTAGTTGGGATGTGACCAAGGCATGTATGACTGTGGCTAGGCTTTGTCTGTCTAGCTATGAATGCAACTGGTAAATTAGCTGCAGTTGGAAGAAGGTGCTCCTGGCCACTGAGTTGACCTAAGACTCAAGTGAAAGTTTTGGATCCAGGAGTACCCCAAACTGTGGACCCTGTCCTTTAGACGAAGCACAACCCCATCCATGACAGGGTGTAGACCATTCAACCCATCCAATTGACCGCCCACCAACAGTACTTCTGTCTTGTCTGGATTGATCCCTAATGTATTGGCCTTCATCCAGTCCATTATCAAGCTCAGGCACTGGTTGAGGACTATTATTATTATTATTATTATTATTATTATTATTATTATTATTACATTTCTATGCCGCCCCTTGCCGAAACCTCGGGGCGGCTTACAACACAATAAAATACATTGAAATACAATAGCACATAATAAATTACCATTAAATGCAAAAATACAAAAAATACATTGATTTACAAATATAAGATTAAAATTATCAGTATAAATTAAGTAAATAAAAATATAGGAGGAGAAAGAGAAGGAAGAAGAAGTTGCCCTGGCCAGATCATATGTTTTAACAATTAAAATGATGTTTAAATAAAAAGGTCTTTACCTGGCGCCGAAAAACCAGTAACGACGGTGCCAGGCAGACCTCTTTGGAGAATCATTGCTATCACTCCTTAGCACCCTCTTTAGCTATGTGGATCCTGGAAGGCTTCCCAGTTCTCTGAGGACCTCTGAGCAGTGATGTAGACTGGATAGTGGTTAAAGCACAGGTGGTATAAGTCTCGATTTAAAGGTGATCAGACACAAGTAAGAGTACAACATGATTTTCACTATGTCACAGTAGTGGCAACAAAGTTAGCTTACTTCACCACCATCATTGTGTCCTTGATGAATTTCTCCATAAAACTCTTTAGGATATTGATTGGACTGATCTGGTTGGTGAATGGGAACAGCTAGGCCCTTGGAAAAGTTCTGTGATGGTTTTGAGAAACATTTTGAAGGCCAAACTCTCTTGCATTCATGGTGAACTGTGCTATTGTAGTAAGTCATGTAGAAGGATTCAGAGTATCATCTGGTCGTGGATGATTGGAATAATTTTGGGGTTTTGCAGCGTGAGAATTTTGACAAGATGCTTGTTACAGTCAGGCCAATCTCTTACTCTCTAGATCCCTGCTCTGTGAATTCCTGGAGGGATACATTAAATGGATAGGGCCAGGAAATGGTAAACTCCTTGTTAGAGGGGATGTTATGTATGTTATCATGAAAGAGACTGATGCAGTCCTTCTTGAAGACACTGTACTTCTGCCCAGAGGTTTTTGGTGACTATTGTCTATTTGCAATACCCCATTCCTGTGCTAGGTGACCAAGACCAGCTGCAGCTGTGTCTAGATGAAGCAGATTATGTAGACCCATGTTGAGTCTGGACACAGCACTGAAACAGGCTTGATCATTCTGATTGATAACTTTGGAAAAGAGATATGGAGTACCTCGCATTAGCTTTCAGTGTGGTGTTTCAGTCACCATAATGCCTTTTGGATCTTCTGGGAACAGGTCTGTGGCGACAGTAAGGGCACTATATTACAGCGATTCCATTCCTCATGCAGGATTGCTTACCAGAGTACTTTTGGGAGAGCTGGCTTCATGGCAGTTACATTGTGTGATCCTACAAAGTTCCATTTTGTCTCTCATTCTATTTAACAGATATATGACATTGTAGGGGAATCATCCAGGGATTTGTAACATAGGGTCACCAATATATGGATAACATCCTGTATCTCTCCATTCCACTAGAATCAGGAGCATATGTGTATACGCGCTGGATTCATGCCTGAAGGTAGAGATGGACTGCATGAGGGCTGATAAACTGAAGTTAACTCTTGATAAGATGGAGGATGTCTGGGCAGGTGGTCATTGGGTCTTAGAACAGACAGCCTGTTCTGAGTGTGAAAGCACTCCCCTGATGGTGCAGCTATGTAGGCTAGGATTACTCCTTGATTCAAGATTATCAGTAGAGGCTCAAGGTCATTCAGTGGAGAGGAGTGCTTATGGCCAGCTGTTCACCTACTGTGGCTGCTCCTGGACTGAGATAAATTGGCAACAGTATTCCATGCTCCAATATCTTCTGATTGGACTATTTCTTGGGTTGTGATGCCTTTGAGAAATGTGGCCAGTGGGGCTGCTGCACATGGCTGCGCCTTCTTGGCTGTGGCATCCCTGTCCTGGAACTCCTTTTTGGTAAAAAGATTCAGTTACCTCACATTTCTGTTATGCTGCACCAGTTAAAAACATTTTATTTGTACAAGATTTGGGGCACAGGCAATCCTATCTAGGATTGTTTTACATGTATCTTTATATTGATTGTTTATTGCATTATGTATCTGTGATTTTAGAATTATAATTGTAATTACATTGATGTGATGTATTGTTTTATATAGGTTGTTTGCATCTCTGGGCTCCTTGTGAGGAAGGGCAAGCCATTTTTATTTATTACTATAGATTTATAATATGATAGTAAAATATTACATTAAGACTGTTTTTGAACTTTGCAATCACCCATATGGTTTATAATTATAACATTAATAAAAACTATATAATATGCAGTTCCTGAAATAAGCCAAGCATGAAAAGCATAAAATATGAACTAAAGCTAAGTGAAAGTTTAATTGTGGTGAAACTTAACTTTAGGGCAATGGCTCTTCCACATATGGTATAAACTTCATAATTATGATATGATCACAATCAGTAACTCTTTAGAGTATTACAATTGATGCCTATTTTTAATCAGTATTGATTCCCTACTTTCATGTGCAGTAGTTGTATATATTTCTTGAAGAACAGATATTCAACATTCTTGAGTATATCTAGTGTTCTTTATGCCTTTTCTTTCAGGACTTCTGATCCCAGTATTGAAGAAATTTAATTTTTGGAACTACTCTACCTAGTTCATTTCTCTTAACATTCAGCATTGCCATCATTTGGAATATTTACATACTTTGCCATCAGCCTTGTAATCCTTCCAGGGAATGCACAATGACATCAGCAGTAGTTGACAGTGGAGGTTCAAGTTTGGAGTTTGACAGCAATGGAGTACAAATTCAAGGCAAGGTCAGAAAATGACGTGCAACCTATTTTTCCTGCAGGCTTTGTAAATATTGATTGTGGACACTAGGGGTGCATGTTGTAAGGGACAGAGAATACTACTTGCTTAGAATTCCTCACTGCAGTAAGGCAGAGAAAATGAAGAACAGTAATGTCTGATAAATCACAGCTTTGGCTGAGGGAAATAAGTCTATCACTGTAGTGATTTAGGAGGTGTTAGAGTATAATCAAAGCTAAATTATTTTAATATTTCTTTATTTTAGAACAGGTTTGGGTAACATAACAGTTATCAATCTAAATGAACTCTTTATGAATTCCAAGTACCATTCTGGACTTCATTCTTTCAAAATTCTATTTCTATATTATTCTATAGAATTTGTAGTTCTTCTATTTCTATAGAAATCCATATTTTTATAATCATTACCTTGTCAACTACTACTTGATTATGTGGATCAATGTTTGCCTACCTTTAAGTTATGTTCCTCCAGTTGGTGTGTTTCTGATGTGGCCTTGATGTGGCTTACATTTTCTACCTCTGCTTAAGGGTGCGATATATTCAAATAGAAAAAAATCCAAGTTTATTTTTAATATTCAGTTAAAAAGATAAAGTCACTAAGGAGAAAGGAGGGCAGTTAGATTAACATTGTAAACAGTTAACTCTTTCTCACTGTACCCTTCAGGAGAATGAACCAGTCTCTGAATATCCAGCAGTGATTGTAGAGCCTGTACCAAGTGCCAGAATAGAACAAGGATATGCTGCACAGATCTTTGTTTATGATGATGAAACTTACCTGCTACAAGATGTTGCAGAAGAACAAGAAGTGGAGACTGAAACAATAAAAACAGGTAGACCTTAAAAAAAAAAAAAAAACAACTTTGCTGGGGCTTTACATTTAAGCTAGTAATATGTTTCACTGAAATTTTTATTTCCTTCATTTGCTCCTCTTTAATTTAGTAGGCGTGGCTCAGCTAATAGGAAAAAAAAACTGCTGCTGTGCATGTTGCACAAATAGGCTAGTTCTATCTTAACATAAAATTTGAAGACGCTTTGATGCTTTTCCTTACAGTTTCTATCCCTAATCATCAGACAGCTTGTCTCTTGGAGTGACCTTGTTATTTTCCTCTTAATAATAAAAGGCACAGCTGACAGTGGTCAGTTAATGTAGTGGTCAATGTGTGCTCTGGGTTTCTTTTCTACAATGCTGATGTCTTTGCAAAACAAACCGTTAAGGTGTGCTACAGCAGTAGGAAATACTTCATTTTTCCAAATTGGTTGAAAGTATGAAATATTTACTTGAACAGTAATCTGCTTCTAAAGGAAAAAAAACCTGATTTAAAGGCTGGATGAAGTATGCTGGACTTTTTGTCTTAAACATGCATAAGATTGCACCTCAATGTGTTGACTTGAACATAGGGATTGTAATCTTAATGAATCAAAGTAACTTATAAGAAAAATTTAAGGAATTTTTAATTGCTGTCTTCTGAGAAGCTTTAGCATTCCTAGTTGGCTATGAATACATTCCATTGAAGTTTGTAGGATTTCTATCATATGCTTCTAGTTTCAATGTGTGGAGCAACTGTTTCACTCAAGGTGTATTTTAGTCATAATGCAGTTATAACAGTACAGTGAGACTATAATTCAGCATTAATAAGATATGGATCTGTTCTAGTAAAACAGTAACTGTGCCAAGAGTTTATTTTAAAGAGCTCTGTTGAATTATTCACTTGTAGTGTGATCAGTGATGGGAGTATTGATTAAAAAAATAGACTTAAGACTTGACAACTAAGTAGGTGATGTGTGTGACTTACTGATTTGCCCAGGATGGCAAGCTGAGTCCCATCCAGTACTTCCTTGTTGCTGAAAAGCCTTTCCATTTATAATATAAATTTCTGAGATTGTTAGTTTAGCTTGTTTATACTGTGTATTTTAGACAAGCTTGTGAGAATCCTGCAGTTAAGAGCTTCTTGTTGACAAAAAATGTACCCGTGTATTTTTAAGAGTGACTAATATGCTTCCATCTAAAAGAACCAATTATGTTGTTCTAGCTCATAAATTCTGACCCTGTTGGCCAAGATTCAAATAACTGCATGCCCAAAGCAGGTTTGGAACTTTTCAGAAAACACTCTTTGTACCACTTGTAAAATGCTTATGATATAGACAGGAGTATCAAAAGTGGTGACATGATATGGAGGGTGATCTGCTTTTCAAAGAAGACATCTCAACAATTCATGTAGCTCTTTGAATCCCAGTCTGTGTAATTAAATTATGTTCAAAAATTTAGTCAATACATCTCTGCTCTGGGTTATAGAAATGCCATGTTGAAGGTAAGTGTGGTACATCTTTTAATACAGAAGGCTTTCTAAAAATGCTACTTTCTGATAACATTTTAAAGCTGTTTCAGTGATAATCTAATACTGTATGGTAAAAAAAGGTGCACAACATTTGTTTTTAATCCCTAAAGGTTTGAGTTGAAAACAAAATTTTATTTTGATACTAGTATCTCTGTCCTAGCTGGCTGGCCATAAAGTAATAGCTTGCTACACTGAAATGTACCAGACTAATAGTGAAATGAAGAAGATGGATAACTCTGTGTACCTGTATCTTTGAAAGTGTCTTTACCATGTCCTTAAAATGCAAACAGATTTTGCTGCTGAGGGCTTGTGTACAGGGGAGCTTTTAGGCAGAAAAGTTCCTAGAGTTTTACTTCAACTTATTTTTTGTGGTAAACAAAAATTTTGACCAGAAGATGTTGTCTGGTTAAACTCATGAATTGGGCAATATAGCTTGCATAATAAAAGGCTTGTCTGAAAACACCCCTGGATAGTGTTGACTTTCAAAGCAGAAATAAGAATCTTAAGCGATTTCCATTCTAGAAAGGTTTAGCATTTATAGCTGTAGTGAACAATATGAAATAATAGTGAAAAGAGTTTCTGTAGAGCACTTTTCTCCAACATATTTCCCTCCAAACATGCTGGATTTCAACTCTTAGCATCCTCCAGCAAGCAGGGGTACTAGCTATGGGATACCAGGAATGGAAGTCCAACACATTTGAAGGGCACCAGATTAGGGAAGTCTGTTTTAAAGGCTCAGAAACTGGAAAACAGTTCAGAGAGATACACCGTCTTTGCAACTACCTGTGAATCTGATTTGGCTGTTCATCTACTCTTTATTTTCCTTCCAATACAAATTCTTAAAAAAGAAAACCCAGTTTCTGGAATAAGTAATTAAAATATTTGCATGGAAAATGGTATATAAAAGCAGAGAGTGTGATGCTAGTGGGCAGCTTTCAAATAAATTCAATTAATAAATACAAATCTGAATAATAAAATGAAAGCATAGTTCTTTATTCAGTAGTCCCCTTGAGCTTAATGGGGCTTATTAACAATTAAGCAGGTATATGACTGAATCCTATTAATGCTTATAACAATGGGTCCTTAATTTATTCAACTTAAGATATATTTCAGAAGAAAAAAATAAACTCTCTTTATGCAAGGTAAAACTAATTTTGTTTATTTTGTTCTTGAGAGCAATTGCTTTCATTCAGGCTTTTTTGTAGCAAGTGGTAGCAAGAATATTAATCTTTTCTTTTTTCAATTCCTCTTTCCATCTGTAAAGCTGCTTTGTATGGATGAGACCCTCTGTAGGGGTGGGAGGTAGCATGAGAACCTCCAAGACAAAGGAGGAAATGGAAGAAACTGCATCCTCCACAAGGAACCTCAGCTGAGCCTCAGTTCTTTTCATGAATGGAAGGGCTATGTTGGGTCCAACCATTTGTCATGAAAAGTTACAAGTAAACTGTAAGGGACGTATGTCTTAATTTTTATTGAGTTGTTTATACAGATAAGCAATGGAACAATCTTACAGACTCTGGAAGTGAATCTCAGGAACCATGACATATATTTGTAATCCCCCTCTGGAGGTTGCATGATCTCAGGAGTGGGAATACTGCATCAGGCTCTTGTCCCTCTTGCAGCTACTGTAGAAAACACTGGGTTTTTGTTTTGTTTTGGAAGAACAGGAAGCTAAATTGCCTTCCTCTTTTCTCTGCCCTGTTCAGCTCTTGCTAACTGGGCATAGGATAGAAAAGGATCTTATCTTGGATGGTTGATGCTTCCTTCCTTTAGAAGACAGTCTTCAGCTTATGTATTTATCTTGCTTCATTGAGCATATACTGGTAGTTTGTTTGGCTTTTCATTTGAAGAGTTTTGGATTGCATACAGCCACATATTTTTCCACTAATTGTGCCAAAATTAGTGCTAATGTGATATTTTCAGGACAATGAGATCAGTGAGGGGATTTCTTTTTAGATTTGCTGACACCATTAAGTATGTTTGTAGTTTCCCATGATCTTGACGTCGCATCAGAAATCCTCCCTGTGGCAGAAGCGAAGACTCGTTTTAATTTTAAAAATATTGTTGCCACAGGGAGGTAGAAGACTTTCATGAAAAATGGAGATCTAAACAGGAGCACTTCCATGATTTACTTCATGGTGAAGGCAGAAAAAAGATCCAGAAAGTGCTGGTAAGTATCACCCCCCCCTTTTTGGTAAACTTGTACATTACTGGACAATGAATTTTTAAACAAGTGGTGGGAGAAAGGTATAGCTAGAAAACCCCTTAACCCTTTTCAAAAAAAACCTGGTGACTCGTATTCTAAAATAAGTTTTCTTTCTTTTTTCCAGATTACTACTTATACTACCCTTATGGAAAACAGATCTTAAAACCACTTAAAGCATTCATTTGTTTGCCAATTACATAAGCATAAGTTTAAGACTTCTCTGGATTTTATCATTTTGTTAGAAATAATGTTTTTATACTGTGTAAATGTGGGGTTTTTTGCCCTAAACATTAGATCTGATTTCAAATTTTGAAGCTATAATTGCACTGTAGGTGCTTGATAAATAAACAATTATAAATACCATGCTTATGTTGAACAACCAATGAAACTGCTGTTTTAGCAGTTGTATAGATATGGTAATGTGCATGCATATAAACTTAAACAAACTTACTTCACCATTCCAAGTGCTAAAGCTCTCCCTTTCCCCCAGCCTGCAATCTTATACTCCAAGATAAGGAAGTTATCTCTCAGTAAACAAAAAAATGTACCTGTTCTGGTGACTTTAGCCATCATTTAAAGAGTTACATAATTAGAACAGCAGCAGTCTTTTCCCTTTCCATCTGCAGATTTTCTGCAGCACTCACCATATCACAATCTTTGGGATTCCAAAAGCACCTTGCATAATAGAAAGGCTATATGTGTATAGGCAAGTCCTTGGTAACATTCATTGCCAGTTCTTAGTCTGGTATGGAGGACAGAATCTTGAGATAGTTGTAATTTCTATTCTTATCCACCCGATTTAATTGCTTGAACTAAACATAGCAAAGAGAAACTAGGAGAACTTTGTAAACAGATGTTCCACTGTAGAATATAGCCACCATTCAATTTTCTAAATGCGCTTGTAGATTGTGTATCTGAAATTTTTTAACATGCATAATTGAAATGTTTATTAGACCTTAAACATGGGATATATTTAATTAGTAGTTGATTCCTAATGGCTAGTTTTATGTAAGGCCCACAAAGGAACTTGACTGATTATTGCTTTCAGCTATGGTACTAAACCAATTGAAGTTTGCTTAAAAATATATAATTTGGCTTACCTTTTGCATCTCATACTATTGGACTAGCCCTCCAAAGTGAGAGTAGATAGTAAAATTGAAAACTGCAGTGAGGAGATATTTTTACAGCCTATACATGTTTATTTCAAGTCCCACTGAATTCAGAAGGACTGTCAGGTAAATGTTCATATGTTTGCAAGTTTCACCTACCATTGAGCTCTGTTTTTTGTTGTATTTGAAAAGTGATTTTTAGTTATGTTCAGCCTACATCTTCCATGAATTTGTCAATTGGCTACAATTAGTCATAGCTCAATCAACCCTCTAATTTGGATGTAATTTGTCAAGAACATAGCCCAAAAGTTCACTTTTAGTTAGCAGTTGCATATTACAGATGCAAGTTGTATGGGCAAAGAGGTTTGTAAACTACCTGCATGGAACCCACTCACACATTCGAATGGAGTAGGTAAAAATCATTGATGTAATTTTACTTATGAGCAGTACTCATGGGAAGAAAAAAAAGTGGAGTGATGCTTGCTCAGAAATAATAGTAGAGCAGCATCCCATTCCATCTTGCAATTTGTGATGAAAGTTCCAAAAAATGCCTGCAAAATATCCCACATTCTATAGATCTCTATGAAGATGCAACTATGGAATTTTACTCATGATTGCTCTCATTGCCAGGATTTCCCCATTCCATAAGAGTGTATAGGAGTGGCAGCCTTGTAGGTGCGTTGTAAACTTCTTTTGCTTCCAACTTCCACCTGAATTGTGCAGCTGCCCTACATCAAGGAATGGTGTTTTCCTTCATGCCATACTTGTGAGGTACACTCCAGTACTGAACTAGATGGATTATTCTTGGATTCTGTGAGAAGTCAAACTCTTGGTTCCTAACATCTTACCTGTAGAACTGTGGAGTAACTCTAGTACACTGGAAAAGCACAGGAATGTAGTGAACCTAAAGTTACTAGGTAAACTTCCAGTTTGTCCCGTGAATTTTTATCTAATGCAAGAATCAATCGTCTCTGGGATCCTATGAAAAGAGTTCCTGGTTGAAATCTCTATCTCTGTGTTAGCTTCCTTTAATGTAGTCTAGATTCTGGGACTCACAGAAACAACGATGTAATGTGCTAATGCCAGCCAATGCATTTCCACATGATTTGGTTGGACATAGGACAGGAAGCTGCTGTTGCACTTATAACCTGCTTGTGGGATCCTGTGGGCAGCTGGTTGACCACTGTGTGAATTGAATGCTGGACTAGATGGACCACGGGCCCAATCCACCATGGCTGCTCTTACGATTAGTTCCCCTGGCAGCAACTGCTCAGGCCCGTTGCATTAAAGTCGTCCTTTGGGTGTCTTCAGCTGAGCCTCGATTCTAGAACTTTGTTTCAAGTGGCACTTTCAAAACTTGCCAACAAATGGTGCAGTTTCTGGCCGATGTTCACTGGAGGCCCTTCCTGACTCAAGTAGCACCTGAAAGAAATACGCGGATTGCAAGGAGCTTTTAATAGCAGTTGAGCTGTAGCTACTCTCCACATCGAAACAAGAATGCAAAGCAGGGTGGTTGATGGCTTGGATTCCTTTCAGCGGCAGCAACGTTTTTATATATCCTCACCTGCACAGCTCTTCAACTTCATGGACGAGAAAAAGAACGAATGAGACGCCAGTGGCGGCGGCGGCGGCGGCTTTCCTTTCCTCCGTCTTGGACCGACTGGATGTGATTATGTGGCGCCGGGGATTCTCTCTGCAGAGGACTGGTGGACCACCGAATCCCCTTCCGTTTCCTAGTCTTGCCAGCTGCCGCTTGGTTTTCGAGCTCTGCCTGCAGAATGGAAGAGAAAAGAGGGAGGGCGAGAACGAGCGCCGCCCGGCACTTCCTGTCTGCGAGGCTAGCGGCGGAAGGATCGCGTGCGCCCTGCTAGAGGAGGAAGCGCTGCTTCGCTGTCGTTGCTGCTGCACGCGAGGGCGGGAGAAGGGAAAGCCGCGCATAGCTCTTTGCGTGGCCGCCGAACGCGGGAACGAGCGTGCAGAGGAAGATCCGGCCGAGCTGCGTTGGCTGCTGCGTTTGCGGGAGCGCCCGTGCGCGCGCTCCGACTAGCGGGGCGCCGCGCCTGCGCGCGCGGCCGAGCGCTAGGAAGCCCCTGCGGGTCAATGCGAAGGCGCCGCCGCTGCTACTGCTGCTCGCTCCAGCGGCATAAACATGGCGACTTCCCTTCATGAGGGGCCCACGAATCAGCTCGATCTGCTCATCCGCGCCGGTAAGCGGCGACGCGAGATGGCGGGAGAGAGGGGCTCGGGAAAAGGGAGGGGAAGGCCGAGGGTGGACTAAACGAGGGAGGTGCGCACGCTGCTCCCTTGCTCTTCCCGGGGGCGGCACTGGTGCTGGAGTAATGGAGGGAGGACGAATCCAGGAAGTGATCACCTTGCCGTGCTGTATGCGTTAGCAACCTGGCCGCGCTGCGTCCGTGCAGAGCGGGCAGCGGCTCTGAGCGTCCTCAGTGATGTGTGGCGCGTCGTTGCGTGCGTTGTTGATAGAGTGCGTGTTCCGCCGTCCCTCCTTTTGGAGCCAGAACCAGGAAGAGAGTGGCGATTGTTGTGCCTGCGCGCCAGCCACGCCACGCTGTCTGAAGAACGGAAAGGCGGCTTCATTTTAGCGCCTTTTGAGCAAAAGCGTCTTTCCTTGCTATGCTAGTTACTGCTTGCACTGAGAGGCCTCGAGGGTAGAGGGAGTTTAGCGGGTCCTCTTTTAGAGGTGCTTCTTGCCCTGCAAACTTTGTTTGAGGCTTGGGAAGATAAGAGAGCACAGAGTAAAGACATAGGAAGTAAACGGGAAAGCGTGGTAGCGCCAATGTATCCAGGGCTGTTCCGGGAGCGAACACCATGTGCCGACCGTAGCGAGGCTATCGAGTCCATTTTGCCCCGCCGTCCTCCCCCTCCCTCGTCCTTATAGCGGAAGCGCGGAGCTCCCTCAGGAGCCCCAGTGCGCGGCGTGGGGGAGTGACGGGCCCCGCTGGCCAATCAACAGTCAAGGATGTTCGAAATCGGGATGCTATCGTCTTCGGTGGGCGGGGTTAGGTTCCGTTAGGCCAATGGCAACGAGCAAGAACTTGAGTAGCAGCTCGCTGTAGCGCTGACACTGCAAGCACGGAATTGGAGGGAAGAGGAAGGATTGTAAATACGGAAGCGAAGGCGGGGCTGGTGTGAGTGAAGGTGGGGGATTTGCAGTTGGCTTTATAGCTTTCGTAAATGTTTTGTGCGGTACAGTGGGTTTCTTCCCGTAGTGCCCATGCCTCGGATGCACAAATATGGTACTGTGCATCCGAGGCATGGGGCAAGTACTAGTACTTGTGCATTCCTCTCTCTGGTAACTGTTCTAGTAACTGTTCTTGTATTGCATTTTCGTATCCTTTACAGACTTAAAAAAAGCTTTCGTATTCCCATGGTCTCTGTGGCTGCATTTCCTTATGCCACTGTTGCTCACTGCTTTCCTTCCCCAGAAACTTCCATTTGGTCTAATAGTAGTAGCTCAGATAGTTTATGTTGGTAATAAGCATGTGGCTAACAGATTCAACAGATATAAATTACCTTCCTTTAATCCTGGGTGTCTAATTAAGGTGTCGGTGATTGTTTTTTTATTTCCAAGGATAGAAATGTTTTGTTTGAACATAAGAATTGACGATTTGAACACTGAACTAATTATACACTTTTCCCCCCGTAAATTGCCTTATATATTCATTTCAGTGGGATAGAAGTACAGTTAAGAGTTTGGATATAGTTGAGTTCCAACAATGATCATGCTATTGTTAGAAAAGCTGTTGCACTCTCCTCTCTGTTTTCCAGCTCCTCTCTTTGTATTTCTCACTATAGTCAGGAGATGGTTACTGCAAGGCACTCTGGGTACATCAGTTTCCCCTTTTGTGTTGTTTGATAGACATCGATACATTCCTCAGTATTAATCTGTTTTTATAAGGTTTCAGACCATCTCTGTTTAGGAGACTTTAAAACATCCTTTTGGTCTGTGTGGCTGAGATCTCAGTCTCAGCAATTTCAATCTGACAAATCACTGTAAAAACTGCTGGAGCACAGTCACCTTGCTAATTGCATGGGTGTTATTCTTTTGCATGCTGGCTGATCGTATTTACAGTTGGTCCCTTGGAACAATTTGAGGACATATGATACAGCATGTATTCATGATACATTTGAAAACTAAGTAGCTCTCATCAAGTGCCTAGATGGAGAGGCTGATTTGGAACTTTGAGTTCCATGTTGCTTTGAGTTCAGTAGAAGAAAGGGTGATATAGACATGTGGTACAATTTTTAAAACAAAAAGCTAGAGAGTATCTTCATTTGTTTGTCACATATGGCAGTTAGATATATCTTAGGCTGCAGTCCTATAGCTGTTAACCTGTGAATTAGTTCAGCTGCAATTAATGAGACCTTTCAGTATATGATTGTACTGTTTATTCATACAAGAAGAAAAACATAATTTCATAGGTATCAGAATATGGAGAATGAACTAGGAGAAAATTTATCTTACTGTGCCAATTGGAGGGAAAAAAATTGGACATGGAGGAAACACTCCACGGGGCACAAATATTTTGATGTAAATTTCCTTCTCCTGCTAAACAGATAATTGGGGAGGAAACAGGTCTGTATGTTTCACGCTTGGTTACTTAGTTAACTTAGGCTTCAGAGAAAAGAAGATTTTGGCAAAGTGCTTTCTTTCAGCACTTCTAATCCTTGGTTCCTACTGGCTAAGTTACTGTGTACTATTCTCAAAAGGGTTTCCTGCCAAAAAGAGGGTAATGTGTGTGCATACCCTCCGTCTCTGTCACTTGCTGAAATTGAGGAAAGGGCATGCATCTTTCCTAGTATTTTGTTTCTCCATTTCCCACCACTCCAACTTAGGATCAGAGTGCAGCTATGTCTAGTATACCTACTTATAAGCAGTTGAACCTCCATATTCACATGGATTAGGGGCACAGGGAAAACCACAAAAGTGGAAAAATGGCTAATATCGCTAGATTCTCCCCAACCTTAACTGTTGACCATATATGTACTGGATTGCTTCTCCATTTCTCTGTGTTAGCCTGTATGGTTGATTTGTGCACCTACCAATTAATTAAGAAACATTTTTAATTTTAAAAATGCCACTCACCTTATTCCTATGTGAAGATAGCTAATATCCACTTCCAACTGTGAGAAACAAGAGATACACCACATACAGAGGCAAAACATGTTGAGTGAGGCTGGCTAGTACCAAGACAAAGGGTGTGGTGCCCCCAAACAGAGTATGTAGTCAGCAGAGTTTTTTACATTTTCTAGCCTGTTCACATCATCTGTGTTTTTCCACACTAGGTCTCAAAACTTAAAAACAAAACAAAACTCTTGTTTAATTATTGATGGCAAACTCACGAATAAGCAGATTTGCCAGTTAAACCTTTCAAAGTTGAGGTTCATCTGTAATAGTTTACTGTCTCTTATTTTGGCTTGATTGCTAATTCTTGTGAACTCTTCTAGCTGTTGGCTAAGCTATTGGGATACTGTGGAATAGCTATGAAAATTCTAATTGCTAAGGGGAAAGTAAAAAGAACAATACGGTTTCAGTAAGGAAAGTAACTGGTAACTTTGTAAAATATCTTACATGTGTCTAGATTTAGTTAGAAGGATCTCTTTTCTCATGAGAAAAGAGAAGGACGGATATCTGAAAAGAAGTAGGTGGAAGGGAAAACTTGGAAAAAATGGATGAAATAGAGGAAGAAAGGAGGCAAGGAGTTGAAGAAAGGAGGGGCCATGAAGTAAGAGAGCCTAGGACTCAGATCTATGTACTGTACTGCAGGGGAAACTGGATTGAAAGCTTCAAGTAATGTGCTATGTACTAGGCAACAAAGACCAGTGCATTGGGAGGTAACAGTAAAACTGTATTTCTTATATTGATTTGGAATAAACAGCCAAGTATTGGGCTGCAATACTTTAATATTAATTACTTTGGTTTAATTACAATTTGCTTTCTAAACTTCTTGTAGGAGAGAGGTAAATACTATGTCAAAATCCAGGTTTTTTCTTTGTTCAAATCTGTAACTTTAAAATAGACTTAGTGTATAATACACTGTGGACCAGATAATGCTACAAGCGCCACATGGTGTAAGCACCCCTTTTTAAGAGAGGAAAGCAAACCAGAAGATGATCTCAAGTCAGTCTCTGAAGTAGCCAGTCATGGCAGTTCTGCTATTTCCTAAAGTAAGGGGTCGTTCTGTGGGAGATTGAGGCACCTGCAGCCAGAGCATGTGCAGCAAGCTGTCTTTTTACCTTTGCTCACTGGTAAAGGAACCAACCAAAGGATTTTTTGGCTGGATCATGCTGGATAATTACTACTTACAAGATACCCATAATCTGGTATTTTGAAGTGTGCTGCTTTTGAACTGGCCTGCTCTGATGGAAGCTTTGCACTGGATATATAAAGACATATATTGCTGGATGTTTTCAGAATTTGTTCCTGTATTCCAAAAGCTGGTTTTCTATGTATCTCTGAGAGTATTACACTGTTATCATTATTGTTATATCTGTGTAGATTTTGCAGTCCTACTGGCCATGAATGTTACTTAATTCTTTGTGGAATTGCAGTTGGGGCTGGAAATAAGGCATATGGGATGTGGGAATACATCTGTATAGCTATGTTCCCTTT